ATTCTTTTTCTTTTTTATGGCTTTTAGAAACTAAAATTGGGTAAGTGTTGAACAGCGTACGAAAATAACGCTATTGCGCATATAGCGTAATTTATCCGGTAAATAGCGTGCCACGTCATCAAAACTGTAAGCTTTCTGGGAAGGTGCGCAATTTTTTGTACGCTACAGCGCGTTTTTTGTCTCAAATGCGCTATTGCGCGCTATATAGCGCGTAAAAACACGCTATTAAAAACACTGTCGCATAGTCATAAATTATGCGTCCGCTTGGATATGCGCTGGTTCATTTGGACATGCGACTAGCATTTCGTGACTTTTGGGGTGTAAAAGAAGTTATTTGATGGGGCGGAGTGTAAAAGAAAGAATAGATTTATAATGGGGTGAAAAAGATTTTGACCCTTAAAAAAATTTGAATGCCTTGGAAATAGACTCAGTCTAAAAAAATATGTTCTCCAATGCAAGTGTAAGTAGACTAGGTCTTGTTGATGTGGCAGCAAGAAAAAAACACCCGGTCTAATCTTAAGTTCAATTCTCTCGTGGAGAGCGAAATTATTCTCTCGTGGAGAGCGATTTTTTTCCTCATCGTCACTTCGGATCGATTGATCTGTTCATGTTTCTTTAATCTTCTTTTGCAGTTCATTTTGATTCTCATCAGCTCCTCTCCTTTAATATTTTAGCATCTTCGAGGGGTTGGAGCGATTTGGCATTCCTTCTAGGGTTTATCGATTTTTTGGGGTTCCCAAATTTGGGGATTTCTAATCCTCTCACCTTCAATGGGATCTTCAGCGTGCATCGGCCAAGATGAAGAACTTTCGCAGCGTCTTCATGGTTTTTCGTTATCGGATCGTGAAGCCCCTATTATAGACATTGCTCAAGAAGATATTAAACCAAGTGCGGAAATTTGCGAACGAAGTCTCTTTGGGAAAGTCATAGGGGACCGAAAGGCCAGCTGGGTTGGAATCAAGCGAGCTATGAGCAATATTTGGCGATTATCTCTGCTGATGGAGGTTAAGGAATTAGGGCACAACTTCTTCCAGTTTCTGTTCCAAAATAAAGAAGACAAGGAAAGAGTTGCAAAAGGTACAAACTGGAATTTTGACAATCAGTACCTTATATTAACCGAATGGTTTTATGGCCTCTCAATCAATCACCCCATATTCCAAGAGGTGAGTTTCTGGGTTCAAGTTTACAACATTCCTCTCAACTGGCTTAGCACAGCAGTGGGTCTGAAACTGGGGTCTGTCTTTAAGAAGCTCAAAAATGTAGTGGTGGTGGGTGCTGGGAGTCATGGAGGGCACATTCTTCGTCTTCTAGTCTCCATTGACATCTCAGAACCAATCCCACGATGCGCAACCATCAGGCTGGGGGATCGGCTCAGCACCGTCAGCTTTAAGTATGAAAAACTCGTAAGTATGTGCCATTATTGTGGTGTTATAGGACATCTGGAAAGGAATTGTGATAAAAGACAACAAGACATCATTTCGAAATCTCTAAAAGAAGGACAATATGGAGATTGGCTGAGAGCTCCGGAAGGTCAGAACTTTGCATCTTTGAATTTATCAGACTCTAGAAGCCCTTCATCCACCAATCCTACCACTCCAGCCCAACAGTCTCCATTGAAATCGTCCAGAAGCCAGGCCGAAGGGAGTAATCAAATTATGCTGATGCAAGGTGAATCTTCTCATCCTCGACACCTGGAAGCTGAAGTCTCCACATCCTTTTGTGGGAATGATAGAGCCTCCAAACCACCTACCACCGATTTAATCCAAGTTGAAGGCAACAATAGAGAGCTAGTTCTGCTAGAATCATCTCCTCTCAACCCTCTGAATGCAGCTGACGTGGAAACTTCAAAGAATATGGAGATTGAAGCAGTCTTAGTTGATGCTACTACTTCCTCTGATCCCCCAACTTTCAAACTTTGCCTCACTTCTCCCACAGTTAGTGGACCTACTAAAACCTGGAAAAGAGATAGAACCAAGGATGGAAGACTTCAAAGGGAACCAGTTCTCCCCATCCTCATTGACAAAGAAATACCAGCTAAAAGGCAAAGGAATGAAAGAAGAGTCTCCGTCTCATCAGCAAGGTGACCAGGTTGCAGGTCAGTCTGACAATAAGAAATCGAAATTGAATTCAGGAAAGGTGGAGGTGGCCAGCCTTGAATGGCACCCAAATGCCCAATGCTAGCTGCGGTGTGGAATTGTAGAGGGCTGGGTGGGCCCTCTACAATTTCCCAAATCAGAGAGTCAATTAAGGCTCATCACCCAACTTTTTTCTTTCTTTCTGAAACAAAAAAAACAAATGGCTTTGTGAAATCTGTAGCTAAGAAGTTAGGTTTTGTTGACAGATTCTCTGTTGTAGACCCTGTTGGTTTGAGTGGGGGTTTGCTTTTGCTTTGGGACTCTTATGTAAACATTATTAATATTTTGCATAAATCTTTTTACATTGCGGTTGAATTTGCTTTTGATGCTGGCCCTTCTCAATGGGGCATATTTGTCTATATGAGCACTTTCAAGCTTACTAGAATGCAGCAGTGGGTGGAAATTGAGAGAGACAAAGATTGTTGGGGCTCCAAATGGTTTATTATGGGGGACTGGAACGATATTCGTTTCAAAGAAGAAAAATCTGGTGGAAAGCTGAGAAGTGAAAGCAGTTTTCTTGGATTTAACACATTCATCAGCAATATGGAGATGGAAGAACTGCCTATGCAAGGTTACAGATACACTTGGTGCAACTTGAGGGAAACTGAGGGCCTGGTAGAAGAAAAACTGGATCGAGCATTTGCTTCAACAGACTGGCTGATAGACTCACCTAATGCCACAGTGTCCAACAAAATTAGAGGTGCCTCAGATCATTCTTTGCTTCTTCTCTGTCAAGGGTATAAACATCACAAGATTCCTGCAAGATTCCACTTTGAAAAGAAATGGCTCAACATGGAAGGAATCAATGAAATAGTCACTTCATCTTGGTCTCAACAAGTTTCAGGGACCCCTTTTTTTAAACTCAAGGAGAAAGTGAAGAATACTAGAGCTGCTCTTCTCATCTGGAGCTCCAAGTTCAGGTCCAAAAATCAACAATCCATTGACTTGCTCACCAAAAAACTTGAGGTGCTTAGGGAAGATAAAGCTGAAGATTACTGGGAGCAATGGAATGAAACCAGGTCTGAACTCAATGCAGCCCATAAGCAAGAAGAACTTCATTGGCAACAGAGGTCAAAGGTGAAATGGCTCAAGGAAGGTGATTCCAACACCAAGTTTTTCCATGCCTACACACTTCAGAAAAGAAAGCTTAATGCTATCTCAAGGCTCTTAACTCCTTCTGGATCAGTGCTGACATCTCATGAAGACATAGAGAACCACATATCTGAATTTTACTCAGAGTTATTCACTTCAGAAGGAAGCTGGGATGGAGAGTCTATGATCCATCTTATCCCTCAGACAATCTCAGATGACATGAATCAAATCTTGTTGAAGCCAGTTTCTGAGGAAGAAGTAAGAGCTGCCCTCTTCTCCCTGCCCCCGGAGAAATCCCCAGGTGAAGACGGTATGAATGCTCTCTTTTTCCAACACTTCTGGAACTTGGTAAAAAAGGATGTCTTTGATGCTATTCTCAGTTTTTTTCAATCTGGAGATATCTTAAGGTACTGGAATCACACTATCCTAACTTTCATTCCTAAAGTCCACAATCCTGAAAGCCTATCTCAATTTAGGCCTATCAGCCTTTGTTCTGTCATCTACAAGGTTCTATCAAAGGTCCTTGCACAGAGGCTTAAGCTCTGTTTGCAGGACTGTATCAGCCCCCAACAATCAGCTTTTGTGGAGGGCAGACAGCTAATGGACAACATCATTATAGCTCAGGAGGCATACCATTTTCTAAACAGACACTCCACAGGGAAAAACTTCTTCATGTCTTTGAAACTTGACTTAATGAAAGCCTTTGACAGACTTGAATGGCCATGCTTACAGAGAATCATGCTTCAAATGGGATTCAGTTCAGACTTTGTAAAGCTCATCATGGTATGTGTCACTACTACATCTATCTCCTTCAAAGTTAATGGCAAGGTCTGTGGCTACATCACTCCTTCAAGAGGCTTAAGACAGGGGGACTTTTTGTCCCCCTACCTGTTCATCATAGCTGCAGAGCTTCTTTCAGCTCTTCTATCTAATGCTCAATCCCAAGGCCATCTCCATGGAATTAAACTCTCTAGCAATGGACCAGCAATCACTCATCTCCTCTTTGCAGATGATTCTCTGCTTTTCTGCAAGGCAGGAGTGGATCAGGCTATGCAACTCACCTCTCTCTTGGATAAATACAGGCTCTTTACTGGACAGAAGGTCAATTTGCAGAAGTCTGGAATTTTTTTTAGCAGGAATACTCCCTCCAATTTGAGAGATAGCATCTGTAATGTTCTTCAGGGAATTGTTCCTCATAGATCAACAAGATACCTTGGGCTACCTTTGGGTATTGGCAGATCGACAAAGGAAGCTTTTGACTTCATCTTGTCCTCCATCAGAAATAAGCTTCAAGGCTGGAAGAACAAACTTCTTTCTCCAGCAGGTAAAGAAGTCTTACTCAAATCAATTATTCAAGCACTCCTTGTTTTCTCTATGACCTGTTTTAAACTGCCAGTAGCCATTTGCAAAGAAATTTCTAGGCTGTGTGCAGCCTTTTGGTGGAAATCTGGTGAAAACTCTGAAAGTGGAATTCATTGGAGAAAATGGGATAGACTCACTCTTCCCAAACTCAAAGGAGGCCTGGGCTTTCATGATATAAGCCTTTTTAATGAAGCTCTAATCTGCAAACAGTTATGGAGAATCATCTCCAATCCTGATCTTTTGGTAAGCAAAATCTTAAAGGATAGATATTTTCCCAATGTCTCCATTTTTAAAGCAGGAAGAACTCAAAAAGGATCCTGGTTATGGCATAGTTGGCTTTCTGTGATGCCTACCTTTGCACAGTGCATTAAAACTGAAATCAGGGATGGGAATTCAACCAGGATTGAGGATCATAATTGGGTGCCAAAGTTGAATAAAGCTCATCCTTCCCTCCTTGAGATTGCTAAAGGTCATTTGATATGGGTAAAAGACCTTCTGGTCAGCAATGGAACAGATTGGAATAAATGGTTGGTGGAACAGGTTTTTTCTCCAGAGGAGAGTGCTGCAATTCTCAGCATTAATACTTTGAACCCAGATAGGGCAGATAGACTTTTTTGGAGTCTTGAACCCAAAGGGCACTTTTCTGTTGCAAGTACTTATAAATATTTGGCTGCTCTTAAGCTTCTGCAAATGGACATTCCAGAGTCCAGTACAAGCAACTTTCCTCCTCATCAGATATTCATGAGATTCTGGCAGTTAAAGATTCAAAGCAAAATCAAACACTTCCTCTGGAAATGCATTTCTGGAACATTGCCTTCTGCAGTTAACCTTAGAAAGAAAGGGATTGACATTGATACTATCTGTTCATTGTGTGGAGAAATGCCTGAAACAACAGAACACATTTTGTTTTCCTGCCCCAGAGCTAGTAGAATTTGGGAATCCTCTCCAGTCCAATGGGATGGCCTCCAGCACTGCACTTTTTCCTTCAAATTTTGGTGGCAACATGTTAGTTCAATCAAACAGAATGAGGTTGTCATAGATAGAATTCAATTGTCTACCTATTTGCTCTGGTGGTTATGGAAGTCCAGGAACCTCTGGATTTTTAAAAGATCAGCCATGCCAGAGCACATAGTCATTTCTGCAGCTCTTAAAGATTGGAATGAAGCTTCTTCAGCAGCAGAATCCTGTGATGCTTTCCCTGCTAGTTAGCTTTATTTTCTCTTTGTTTGGTTTTGGTGTTTTCTGATTCTTGGAAGTGATGTATTCTAGCTAGGCTTTGAGGAAGTGGATAGATGCATTTTTCCTTTTGTAGATTTGTCTTTGTTTCTTAGTTGTTGAGGCTCTAGATGCTTTGTGTAGCATCTCTCAGTTTTCTGTTGTTGTTGGCTTAGTCTCTTGTATTGACTCTTATTTTGGTTGTTTAATATAGCTCCTCTATCGTTCTGGCCAAAAAAAAAAAAAAAATCTTAAGTTCAATTTAGATCCAAGTAGAGACCTAGTGTCCTTGCATTGGAGTAGATTTTGTTAATTTTATATATTTTTGTTCATGTCATCCAAGACTTAGGTTCATTTACATTCCACATATACAAAACTAGACCTAAAGCATTGCAGATGTTCTTAGAAAAAAATCACAGCCATGTAGGAAATAGACCTAGTCTATCCTCCCTATATATTATTCTCGAATGCGCTGAGCCTACGTGGCTGCTTCTGGTGCTTCGGAATCCTACTTGGCAAAGAATCATGCTTCGTAATTAGGTTTGGACAAATAATATTGATATATTAATAATTAATAATTTAGGTTTGGACATTCCATAAATATTATTTAGCTAACTTAGGTATTTTAATATCACTTATACTAATATAACTTTTTATTTCTTTGTAATTTTACATACTGAGGCACTAAGTGACTAATATATCCCTGACTTTTGATTTGTTTCCTTCAATTAGCTATTGAATTATAAATGTATTTTAAAAGTTGATAACTTTTGTATTTCTTATCGGTTTTACATATATAATATATCAAATTAATCATCTTCTGATGATCTTCGATATGACATCCATATTGTATATATGAAATAAATAAATTATATTTATTTTTATAATAATAATAAATAATAATATTTATTAAAATTCATTAGAAAAATAAAATTATTTCTCAATTGATATATTTATGTTTAATGTAGTTATATGTTGTAAGTTTAAAAAATTATTATAATATAACACATGTAAGTTGCACAAATAAAAAGTGTCATTCTAAATATATAATAATATATATATATATAAATATATATTTATAAAAGATATTTAAATTTTCAACTACTTTTTCTCATTAATTTTAGATTTTAAGAAAAAATTAGCAAGCACCAGTGTAATACACGGGTGTTGTACTAGTAAAAAAATATTTCACAATGCAATTAAAAGTGGACCTACTCTAACTAATGGGCACTAGAAAAAAGAGACTAAGTCCACACTTGGGTCTATTTTGGACACAAGTGCAAACTCACCTAGTCATTAATTGTTCATAATTTTCTTTTTTTTAATAGGCAAAATACATTATTTTTTGTATGCATTTATTATTACTATATTTTTATTGGTTGTTTAATATTCTAGACCTAGTACATTTTTGTTTTGCATTGGATAGATTTTAGATTTTTTAGCTTGAGTTTGTCCATGTCATTATGGACTTAAGTCTATTTATTTGCCACATATGCAAAAAGAGACCCAAAGCATTGTGGATGCTCTAAGAGCACCCGCAATGTTTTTGGGTCTCCTAAAAAAAAATACATGTCATGTAGGAAATAGACCTAGTGTATAAAAAAGTGTTTTCCAATGCAATTAAAAGTGGACCAAGTCTAGCTTATGTGGCACTAGAAAAAGAGACTAAATCCACACTTTGGTCTATTTTGAACCCAAGTGCAAATTCACCTACTCATTAATTGTTCACAATTTTCTTTTTCTTTTTAATAGGCAAAACACATTTTTTTTTTTGTATGCATTTATTATTACTATATTTTTATTGGTTGTTTAGTATTCTAGACCTAATACTTTTTTGTTTTGCATTGGATAGATTTTGGATTTTTTAGCTTGGGTTTGTCCATGTCATTATGGACTTAAGTCTATTTATTTGCCACATATGTAAAAAGAGACCCAAAGCATTGTGGATGCTCTTAAGGGTAGTCTGTCTCTTTTTTCTGCTGCCACGTTAGTAAGACCCAGCCTACTTATAGTTACATTGCAACATATAATTTTCTGAATTGAGTCTATTTCCTACGTGACCAGTATATTTCTTTGAATGGACCCAAAACATTACTAATGCGCTTCCAACATTTTTGGAAAAGGAGGTTTACCTGTTAACACCATTCTTGCAAATCCAGTATTATTATTTTTTTTTTTTTTTTTTTTTT